CCATATGTCGATAGAAATATGTATTTTGGTGATATAATGTAGCTATGCATAAGAAAAATAAAAATTAAAAATAATATATAATATGTAAACAATATAAACATCTATATTTTCTTACACAAAATATTATGGTATTTCTTCGTAGGAGCTTTTGGAAAAATCTTTCAAATGAGATAGCAACTTATTTATAAAGAAGTAAAATAGCGATTATCGATCTTTCATGCAGAAATTCATCTCAGAAAAGATTGAACTTCGATCTGCTCAAAATACCGCCTGTTTTAAATTTTGTTATCACCAGTAGTGCATGATTTATGACCACCTTCGCTGCAATTGCGACGATAAGTAAATTCGATAAGCAACAAGCTATCATAATCGCAAGCACATATAACACATATATTAATTTTGACTGCGATATCATATATGGAGCACTCCAGAAGAGGACACCCTGCGCACTTTTTTATTCACAGATTCTCCAAATCTAGATCTAGATAATCTATGACAAAAATCTCTACTTTAACACTTCATCAAAATTTTAATCCTTAAAATTCTCCCAACCTTAGAATTAACTGCGCAAAAAAAGTAAAGTCCATTGTATATAAAGTTTATATGAAAAATAGGATTTTGTTTACTCTCTCGCATCTTTGAAACCTTTCATCTCGGTAAGACCCCCAAGAATATATTCGCTGCTTTTATCTCTTTCCCGTTAGAAGAGAGAAAATTCAAAAACCAACCGAAAAGTCCGCGGATAACGAGCCTTCGCGGGAATTTTGGAACGTTCTACCGTCCATGCCGAATGTGCAGCACGCTGTACATACACTATTTTCGCGATAGCGGCTAAATGCACGAGTCATTTGGCGACCTTGGAGTCGTATCGCGAGAAAAACGCACTTTGTTCTCAAACGTTCCCCGAGTCCGCCGCGCGTCCATCGAAAAATCCCCGCGGCGATTTCCTCGTAATTGTGCGGTTAGAACAAACAAATCTGTAAGGGTCTGTCCACACGGAAAAAACGGTTTTGCTGAAGTATCTAAAAATTTAGCTAGATACAGATCTCTGAAAATAATTTTGTTGCACCGTCAAAATAATTATAGCAGGTCGCTGAAGTATGATGATAATGTTGCACAAAAATTTAACATTTTAGCAATCAGTTTGAGTGTTCTACATAATTATTTGTGATCATGCAACAAAATTATTTTCAGATCTGAGCAGCGATCACGTAACTTTTCATCACGTTTCCGCCCCAGAGATATAGTTATACGTAATCGCTACCCTGTATCTGCGCCGAAAAAAAATTTATTAATCCGAAAAGATATTTAGTCCGATACGTGCAACTAAACATTTTAGTTAGTTTAACTAAACATTAGTTGAATAATTCTTGATTACAAAATTTTTATGGTTGACATGAATGCACCTTCTTTAGTGCAACTTGATAATTGTTGAAACAACTAATGTTTAGTTAACTAACTAACATGTTTAGTTGCACGTATCGGATTAAATATTTTTTTTCTCAGTGTAGCTAAATTTTTAGATACTTCAGCAAAACCGTTCTTTTCGTGCAGACAAACTTGCATAGTATATGGTCCGATCAACTTTCTTATGCTTATGTTTATATTTATGCGTTACACAAATTTGTCTGAATAAATTCTTACACGGTGCGTTTCCGCGGAAAACGCACATTTCGTATTTATTTGTATTCTTATCCCTCGTCTTATCCAGATTGCGACCATTTTCGCGATGCGTCATCGTCGAGGCGACGAGTGCCTCCCGTCGCGTGCACCCGCTTTTTCCGTTAGTTTGCGTGGCGAAACGATGCTCTTTAAACTAATCTCTCCGCGATAATGCGAGCTATTTTCGTGCTGAATAACCTTTTTGTCATCTTACTATCTATTTCGCTAGTCATTACCGTTTCTCATTGGCACGTGTGTTTCTACTATTAATTATTGCACTTCTATTTATAATTATTTCACACGTATTGTTACGTTAATAGAAGCCTTATCAAATTTCTCTCGCGATGTTCCTTGGCTTCTGTTGCTAATCAAGTTGCGTTACCTTTTAAATCGTGTGTCAATACATTTTATACATTATAGATTTGCATTTTTCTATAAAGCTAATTTCATATATTTTTGCCTGTTATTTTCAAAGTATGACATAGAATTCCTTAGATACATATTGTATTGCTGTAAAACCGTAATAAAAGTTTAAAGAAAAAGAATGTTGATAAGTTAATAGCATCTCCACGATTCGTTACGAGCATTCGGCAAATGATAATATAATTGCGGGAATTCCTACTGGAACGGTCGTGCAACCTCAAAGAAAACTCAGCGGGGTTTTTTTTTTTGTTCTCGTGAAAGAAATCCGTGTAAAGAGTCGGAGAAATGGGCGAGAAATTGTACGATATTGTTCTGTGTAAAATAGCTATTAACACAATAGGGTCGATTCCTTTCGGTCGAGCTCAGGAGAGAACAAAGTCTTAAATACAATTCCTCGATACCTGAAACGAACGGATTTGCAAGACAATGATGAGCGACCGTTAAAGCCCAACCGCGCATGTGTATATTTATTTATTTCTCGCATTAAGGAAAAAATGAAATCCTAAAAGTAATTCCCAAAAATTCTTCATGTTTGATCAGCTGATTATATAAAATTGAAGACGCAAAAATACTTCGCTTATTTGCAAGAAATAATTCAGATCGCAAAGGATTAATGATTAATGCGATCGCTGACGTATAAAAAAGCTATCTTATAAGATAAAATCTCGGTTATACTTATTTCGATTGAATCTTCTGAAATGTTACTATAAAATTTGGTTATAATAAACACACGTAAAGATTATTGCGAAATTTTTGTAACAGTAACAATAAAATTAGATACAAATTGTAAAATGCACACTTTGAGTTTAACAATAAGTAGCGAGACAGCTATTTAAATATTTACAGTTTCGCTCTGGCGTACGTGATAAAAGACGTGAAAGAAGTAAACGACGAGAAGTAAAGAAAGGTTTTCAGCGCCGGCTTTTTCGAAACTCGCGGAAATCAAGCAGCTGATCGTCATGCGTTACAATTGCGTAAACATTACGAAGAATACGTGAAACGGTATCGTCGCGAGACACGTGGACACTCGAAGCCAACATGATTTGGCATCCTTGCAAAATGAAGAGACGCAACGCTGTACGTGAAACATTCTCGGAAAGAAATTTTCCTATTTAGGACACTTCGCGTACCTAAAGCGTAAAATGCGACCTTTGATTGCACGCGTTTTCACATCAGTCTTGGCAGTATAAGCTTTATACTTAATATTCATCACGGCGAGTTTCAAATGCATAACGAAAACGCATTTACTGAGAAATACTTTTTTAAAAACGAGATAAAATCAGCCGTTTTTTTTAGCATTCGCGGACAAATAACGGAAAGTTATAACGGGTAAAATCTCGAAGTAAAGATTGTTAATTTCCGCTTTTTAGGATGGAGCAAATCTTGATTAAGAATTATCCATATCATACAAAATATTTCTAATGGATGACTAATACATAATATTCATATCAATGGAGCTTCTTGTTTTTTTATTTGTATTGATGATTAACTCGTCAAGTAATACCCGTATATTATTTTGCTGATACGGATAGAATTATTGACTTTTTTGTTGTTCGACATATATAAAAAAAGATTAGATTAGGAGCAACAAATGCTGTAGTTAAGACTTTGCTCTAAACCATTCTGTTGGATAGATTATAGAACATGGATAGAATAATTAATATCTTGTTGTTTGACATATGGAAAAAAGATTAGACTAGGGACAATGAACCATCAGACATTTTGCTTTAAAAATTCTGCCGACATAGATAGATAGAATTAATAATTCATAATTATCATGGATATAAATACGGAGAAAATGATTAATATTGTTCAACATATGGGAAAAAAGATTGAATTAGAGACAACAAATTGTATGTATTCTATTTTACAGCTAGAAATTTTGCTTCAAGCTAAACTATTCTATCAATTGAATTATTCGCCGATTAAGGTGATCCTAAAGCCGTGATTCTAGTCGGTTTTTTTCTTAGCACTAATCTTTTAATTGGCTTTATAGAAATACAAAATTCTTGTCTAGAATTAAAGTACGCATCAAAATCTAGGTCATGGTGGTCGAATTTATATGTGGTGGTCGTCACGTATAACAAAAAATATTAATTTTTTTTCGTTTTCAGTATAAATTCGACCACCATGACCTAAATTTTGATGCGTACTTTAATTCTAGACAAGAATTTTGCATTTCTATAAAGCCAATTAAAAGATTAGTGTTAAGAAAAAAACTGAAAAAAACCGGCTAGGATCACGGCTTTAGGATCACCTTAAGTAGCCGAAGTTTGTTAAATTATGAACGCAAATGTACTCTCTCTATGATCGTGACGTTCCACTGACAAGTGAGAAGAGAGACCAAGAGAGAAAAAGAGAAAAAGAGAGAAAGAGATAGAAGAGCGAGAGAAAGAGCACGAATGTGTCGCTGTGCGAGGCCGCACAGCTGAACACGTGGTCTGTCGCTGTCGAGGCGAACGTCGCGCGCGAGAGCGCGATTTCGTCTCGGATTACTGCGATTTCGCGACACGGGAATCGCGAACGAAACGGCCGAAGCCGCGATATCTCCGACGACGCATCTCGGACCGGCAATCGCGCGCGTCCGTTCGAACGTCCGTTTCGTCCGACCCGCGACGTCCGTCCCGAGTTAAATGAACACGACGTGCATTTTACGGAGGAATCTAGGAATCTCTTCCCCTCGCTCGATTTCGTGCGCGCGGCTATCGCGTCGGCTATTTTTATGCGGATTGATGTCAACGAAGTCGCGCTGAAAAGTGCGGTCCGAAAACTCGCGGCTCGCACGGCGCGGCGCGGCGCGGCGCGGAGCCGAGAATATACCGGGTGTCCCGTTTCGATCCTCGCTCGGTCCGTTTCGTAAAATCGGCGATTCCACGTCGCGTTATCGGCGAGGCCGTCGCGACATGGGCACGTACCTCTTTTCCTTTTTCTTTCCCGATCGTCCTCTTCGAGTCCGGGCTGATCCCACACGAGAATGTGGCCATTTCGTCCCCTGTTCTCGCTGCTGTGATTCATCGCGCGTTCGGGCACGTGGGGCGCGGAGACGAAGTACGCAAAAAAAAAATGGAAACGCGATTTCACGACGCTCCTGGACGACGACGACGTCGATGACGAACGTTTGGCGCGATAACGCCGACTGTCTGTGTCTTTCGCGCGCGCGCGTGCGCGCACACACAGTGTTTCTTCCGCTGCCGCTCCTACGAGCACTCTCGCTCTCGTGTTCCGTTCGGGCGCCGAAATGCGCCGGGCGGAGAGAGACGCGCCTGCGTTCTCTTTTCACGACGGTCAGAGTGGTCAGACGTCGGCGACGACGATGACGTCGAACAGAACGGTGCACGAGACAACGGTGGCGAGCGACAATCACGAGCGCGACACGCGAATAACAAACTGTTGCACGGAAGAATAGAGAGAGCGAGGTTAAGTCCTCGCGTGGCACGATGCACACTGGTTCCACTGGTTATGCCGGGAGTGCCGGGACTTGTGTAATCGGCCGGCTGCTCCGAGTGCTCTCGCTGTACTCCGATAACGGCGGGCTGGCGGGGCGAGCGGCCGAGCGGACGAGGGGCGCTTCCGATTGGCGCGCGAGCCAGCCACGCCAGCCGTCCGGCCAATCGGAGCGCAGCGCGGTAAAAGTTGCGCTGGCCGGCGCGAAATTTAAATGCATCATAGGGGCAGAAGCATCCCTTTTCTCTTTTCAAATGTGCGAGGAAATTGACCCTGCAGGTTAAAATCCTTTCCTGTACAAGACTTTTCCAAAACTTTTCAAGAAAAACCGAGATGGATTGTGTATATGTCATCAAGCAAAATAAATGGACTGTTCTAAATGCAAATGGGGAAAACCGACAGACAGGGGCAGAAACATTTCTTTTCTCTTTTCAGACATACGGGAGAATAACCCTGCAGGCAAACATTGTTTCCTTTAAAACTTTCACCGTCCCGAAACTCTTTGAGAAAAACCTGAATAAACTACGTCATCAAATAAAATAAATGTTATTATTCTCTCAATGCGTCTTATATATATTTTTTTGCAGGTCATGAAAAAAAGTATTGTTTTCAATTCGTCATATAGTCTTAAAGAAAATATTTATTGTTTTCAATTTATTTTATTCTTTATCTTGCCTATACTTTCACATTTAAATTCTCTAAGAACCGTTCAGACAATTAGTTAAAATTAAAAGAAGTTTAAGTGACATCTTACTCTTTTTAACTTCATTTTTAGAATAAAACGGAAAACGTTTGATTAATGGTAATTGCAGTTATTTTTAATTTATACTTTAAGAAAAAAATATATCGCACTTATTTTTATTAGTTTTCTCGACATTTGCTTTAATAAATGTTAAATTAACGTTTTATCAATTTTCAATGAGTCATTAAAAATAACAGTGATTCGGTAATTGTGACAATAGGAGCGCTATTTAAGGAACGGTTACAAAGAGGGATGAACATTTATCGGACTACATTTCAACAAAGCACACATGTACATTTGCATACGGTGAAACCGTATGATTCATTTCTAACCTTCGGGCTGAAAAATAAAGCGGATTACTGCCGTGTCGGATATGCCGTGTCGTTTCTTTTGTAAGAATTACTTATTATCGTGTATCTCGTTTCATCCCAACAGATCACAAATTCCAAACAGCATTACTAGGATTTAAATATCTTCAAAATGCTATTTCTATCCAAAAGCAAATAGAAGAGTATATCGTCCCAACATCCTCTTGTCGTTTATTGGAAAACATTTTTATATGTATTGCCCTACCTCCCTAGTTCCCTGCAAAGAAATATATATATATATATATATATATATATAAAGCCATAAAAAGTTATATATAGCTTTATAAATATACACAAATATATAGATATATAACATACACAATTATACCAGTCAAAAGTTTGGACGCACCGATAGTATATGTAAAAAGTCAAGATTAATTGATAAAATAAATAATTATTATATTGTTTAATAAAATCCGAAATTAAGCAACTTGACTGGCCAGTTCACATTTATTCTGACTCACAACGTTTCGACTATAATCTGGTAATCTCCTTCTCAAGTAAGATATTAAAATTTATTACGCAACATTAGAGAGACATCATGCGTCGCCAGACGTTGTATCCTAACTACATCGTGCAAACGTCAAAATGTTTGGTACGTCAAAAGAATGAAAATGTAAAATTGTAAAAATTGTAAAATTGTAAAAATGTAAAGAATATTAAATTGAACATTTTCTCCACTAAGTCCGTACCGAGCCATAGTCAAAGTCACAATGAATTATACAACGTCTGGCGACGCATGATGTCTAATGTTGCGTAATAAATTATTAATATCTCACTTGAAAAGGACCAGATTATGGTCGAAACGTTGTGAGTCGGGTCGCTTAATTTCGGATTTTATAATATTATATTATTTATTTACTGGCAAATTTATTTATTATACCATTGTTATTATATTGTTTCTCTGACAGAAATTATCTGTTAAAACAAAATATAATATGCGTCGGTCCAGTTCATCCCATAATAAAGAAGCAGAGATTTTATGTACATATTACACACATAAAATATATATAATCTCTATTTTTAGATAGAAAGCAATAAATCAATTTTTATGTAGCATGTTAATTTTTTCCTGTTTATCAATTACATTAAAAATATTTCCCATACGAAAAAATACACATTATAAAATATCTATTCCAAATTCGTAAAATAAAAATGCGAAGATAAACTGAGCCAAAATTATGTTATTACATTAAATCTTTTTTTATTGAAACTGCTTTAATCTCATTAAAAATACGACTAATCAGATACGGCTGCGGTAGAATCCTTCAATCTTATTGTCGTACGTAATAGCTCTGATTACATCAGATAACGTAAGGAGGAAAAACTGAGTCACTGCGAAGATAATATCATTGCGTCTCGTATGCTCAATTAGAGAATCTCTGATCCCGCTTCTTGGAGTATTATTCATCTTCAAACGGATCAAATAAATTATTTAACACGAACGAAAAAGCAACGGGACTGTTTTATTACAGAATGACGCAAATCGTTATCATTTCTTCTAAAGTGACTAATAAAATTGTTAAACTGATAAGCGATCGCGAGTAATCAGAATAAATGTCGTATTAATTTATCGAGGTCACAACGCGCAATTAATTCATTATAATTATTATTTTATTTCTATTTTGACTCTTTATATATAAGTTTACAATTTATCCTTTATAAACACCAGTATCGTGAAAGTTGCATAATGTTGCAGCAGAGTTTCACGTTATTTTCGCAAGGTACTTAACGTCGTTCTTGAAATAGTGGAAGATACGACTTATGCCGTTCCATCCAGTGGATATCTGTCCTCATATCTAACAAGAAAATAGCTAATCGCAATTAATGTTAATAACCGCTCTATCTTCTATCCTATTTGTAGTTTTATTTCCGATTCGAGCTTGCGTCACGCGGAAGAACGCGGATTAGATAAGCGATCGGATCAAAAACAATCAGTTCGCGGGGCAAATTTTTGCAGTTGTTGATGCAACAACTATTTTGACTATATTTAGAAATACAAAGACAGAAACAAACGCGCTCGGCAAGCTCCGACATTAGGACTGCGATCGATTCTCGACCGTGTTCACAATCGCGTCGAATTGCGTTGAAAGATCGTCGACGATCCGACGATGTTTCATTCACATTCCGAAGAGAGCTTTATTTTGAGAACTCGACTCTCTGATACCGATTTCGAGATACTTCGTCACGTTCCGACGTGCGATTTCCAACGATTGACGATCGGAGGTTCTTCCGTTTACAAATGTCATTCGCGATATCAATAATAGCGATATCGCGAATAATCCTCCGGCATATTTACGCTTATCTCGCGAAGAACCAACTTGTAAACGCCAATATTAATATTAATATTAAGCTTACATTGATAACGCAGGCTGCACAAAACTTTCCGATATTATATTATACCCAGGAAAACAATTTTTCATGTATAATAATTATATATAAAATATGTCTATGTATGTTTTTTCTCATGTATAATTTCTGTTTATAAAAAAAATAATAACCAGAATAATTGTAAAATAATTATAAAAATAACTTCTAGATTAATTTTTTACAAAAAATCAAATTGTGATTAGATTATACAATATTCTATATATAATCATATTTTATATACGATGATATTATATTTATATATGATTACATATGGGCAATTTTTCCAATTTTGTCAAACTTTGTTTTTTTTTAAAAGGAACAATGCAAAAATTATACTTTTAATTATTTTTTAATTCTTCTTCTTATTATTTTTTGGACATATTTTCTACGTAATTATATATAAACAAATTTTTCCCAGGTATAGCTCCTAAAGATACTTTTCAAGGAAATGTCTTCCATTCCGATGAAACGATCATTACAAGTAAATGATAATTAACAAGATAAAAGATATGTGGAAAGTATTGCCGGGCCAACGGGTCAGTCGAAGCTCTCGCGTCTGCATCAGGGAATTCCGATTTGGGATTACGAACGAAGTAAGCAAGCGTAGGAGAGACAGGCATGCGGGATTTTCCATAGTGGAAATTGTGAAGACGTAACGAGCAAATATTTGTCTGTCTCTTGGATTCCGGCCGTCTGTCGCCGTCGTTCTTCGCAAAGAGTATACCCCCCCTGAATGTAAGACAGAGCTGATTTGTAGCTTGTTGCGTTGTGCGTGCGAATCGTCGTCGTCGTCATCGTCATCGTCGTCGTCGTCGTCGTCGTCGTCGCGTCGTCTTCTCTGCCTATAATTGATTTGATTGCCACATATGTAGCGTTCAAAGCTATATCGGTGCAGGAATGTGCGATTCGCGCAAATCAAAGGGGAAGGAAATCGCGGACTGTCGCCGGGCGCGTAACACATCTCCTCTAATCAAGCGTTAAGTAATTGAAGTTTAAGCCGAGTCGAACGTTAATTAGCAATTATCTCGACCCATCTCTCTCACTGACCTCTCTCTCAAATCGGGACTGTAAACAGTATAGTCTTCCGACAG